GGTTGCTTTATACCCTTCAAAAGTTGTCTTTCTACCGTGCAATTCATCTTGGTGGTTTCTTAAAGTATCCCTTTGGTGGTTGTCTTGGAGGGGTTTTTCGTTTTAGCCTAATAACCACCCTGTATCTAAAACCCCAAAACCATTCTGCAGCTGTTATTGGCCGCGTTGGTGGCGATGGTTGTATTGGCATTAATGGTGTTGCAGAATTTACAGAACTTTGTCACAAAAGTTTGAAGCTTTTATTAAAGGGAGGCTTTGAGGTGGTTGAAGGGTTTGGTTCACAATTCAGTTCTATTCTCTCTTGCTTATTAGTTTAGCTTAGCCGCCTTTTGCCACAAATGGGTTTTGGTTTCTTTGGTTTTGTACTCATTCTATCACTCTTCTTTAAGCATTTGGCTTGTCAACAGCCTAATACAGATGGGTTTTTTATCTCTGAGTTCTTGAAGAAGATGGGTCTAGCCTCTTCTCAAAATTACAACTTTTCTGCTCCTGTTTGTTTATGGCAAGGAGTCTTCTGTGATGCCCAGAAAGAGCATGTTACTGGTTTAGTGGCTTCAGGTTTCGGCCTCTCTGGTGCCATTCCTGAAACCACCATAGGAAAGCTTACCAATCTTCAGTCTCTGGATCTCAGCAGCAACAAAATCACAGCTTTGCCTTCGGATTTTTGGAGTTTGGGCTCACTCAAGAGTCTCAATCTGTCATGCAATCAGATTTCTGGGTCTCTGTCCAGCAACATTGACAATTTTGGTTTGCTTGAAACCATTGATCTCTCTAGCAACAATTTCTCGTCGGAAATTCCTGCAGCTATGGGCTCCCTAAATTCATTGCAGGTTCTTAAACTTGACAGAAATGGGTTCCAAGGGAGCATCCCATTAGGAGTTCTGAACTGCCAATCATTGGTTTCACTTGATCTTTCTTTGAATCAGTTATCTGGGTCTTTGCCTGCTGGGTTTGGTGCAGCATTTCCTAAGCTGAAAAGCTTGAACCTTGCAGCAAATGAGATCCATGACCGCGACACAGACTTTGCAGGAATGAAATCTCTTACAACCTTGAACATCTCTGGGAATTTGTTCCAAGGTTCAGTGATAGGTGTCTTCCAGGGGATGCTGCAGGTGATGGACCTGAGCAAGAACCAATTTCAAGGTCATATTTCTCAGGTACAATCCAATTTCTCCTACAATTGGTCTCATTTGGTTTATCTAGACCTGTCTGAGAATCTTCTTAGTGGAAAAATGTTCCAACTTTTGGGTGAAACTCAAAATCTTAGATTTCTTGATCTTGCATACAATGGATTTCCTAGACAGAAATTTCCACCAATAGAAAAGCTCACAAGTTTAGAGTATCTTAATTTGTCGAAAACTAATCTGACTGGCCATATTCCTGGTAAAATCTCTGAACTGAGCAATTTGCATACTCTCGATCTTTCTGCCAATCACCTCGCTGGCCAAATTCCATCTTTGAGTCTCAAAAACCTTAATGTTCTTGATGTTTCACTCAACAATCTGAGTGGAGAAATTCCAGTTTCTCTCTTAGAAAGACTTAAGTGGATGGAGAGATTTAATTTCTCTTGCAACAACTTTACCCTATGTGCTTCAGGGTTCTCCCCTGAGACCTTCCAATCAGCCTTCTCTGGTTCCCTAAACAGCTGTCCTATAGCTGCACAACCTGGACTTTTTAGAAGGAAAACCAACAGACACAAGTCCTTGGCTCTTGCTCTATCTTTCAGCTTCTCGATGGTCTGCTTGCTTGCCGGGGTGCTATTTCTGGCCTTTGGTTGCCGGAGGAGGTCCAGAACTTGGGTGGTAAAGCAAACTTCACTGAGAGAAGAACAAGATGTTTCAGGTCCATTTTCATTCCAAACTGATTCAACCACATGGGTAGCTGATGTGAAGCAAGCAAACTCAGTCCCGGTAGTGATCTTTGAGAAGCCATTGTTGAATATCACATTTGCAGACCTCTTGTCTGCTACTTCAAATTTTGATCGAGGTACTCTTCTCACAGAAGGGAAATTTGGTCCTGTTTATAGAGGATTCCTGCCTGGTGGAATTCATGTAGCAGTTAAAGTTTTAGTCCATGGATCAATAATGACAGACCAAGAAGCTGCAAGAGAGCTTGAGTATCTTGGTACGATAAAACACCAGAATCTTGTTCCTTTGACTGGATATTGTTTGGCTGGGGATCAAAGGATTGCTATCTATGATTACATGGAGAATGGTAACTTGCAGAACTTGCTACACGACTTGCCACTTAGTGGTCAGACCACTGAGGACTGCAGTACTGATACATGGGAAGAAGATAACAATGGGATTCAAAATGTTGGCTCTGAGGGCTTGTTAACAACTTGGAGATTTCGGCACAAAATAGCACTTGGCACAGCAAGAGCACTGGCATTTTTGCATCATGGCTGCTTCCCTTCCATAATTCACAAGGATGTTAAAGCTAGTAATGTCTATCTTGACTTAAATTTGGAGCCAAGGCTATCTGACTTTGGATTGGCAAAGATCTTTGGAAGTGGTTTAAATGATGAAACAGCCGAAAGGTCACCCGAATGGTCACCCGGATATATGCCACCTGAGTTTTCTCAGCCTGAATGCGACTCTCCAACAGCAAAATCAGACGTTTATTGCTTTGGTGTTGTACTGTTTGAGCTAATAACCGGGAAGAAGCCAGTTGGGGATGATTATGCTGATGATAAAGAAGCAAATTTGGTGAGTTGGGTTAGAGGATTGATTAGGAAGAACCAAGGATCAAGAGCTATTGATCCTAGAATCCGTGACACGGGACCAGCTGACCAAATGGAAGAATCCCTGAAGATTGGTTATCTCTGCACAGCCGACCTTCCCTCAAAACGACCAAGCATGCATCAGATTGTTGGCCTTCTCAAAGATATTGAACCAAAAACTCAGCAATGAAGAACAAAATACAAGTTGCTCTCTTCGCCTTTTTCTCCCCTTAAATTTGTTATATGTTACTTTTTTTTCTTTTTAGTGTTATGAATCCTTTCGATGCTATTATAGGAAGGAATGTGCAGCAAGCAGTGGTCAAATTATGCTTCCATTCCATCATTCCATGCACTGTCTTTGCATCCTTTTCATAGTTGATGGCTTCAAATTTTAATCATATAGCATGAGTTTGATCTTTGAAAGAAAGCATCCTCCTATTATATTATTTTTTAATGTTGGAAACATTCTCCTCTCATCTGTTCTTGCTCATTTAACAACTAATTCAGAATTTCACATGCTTTTGCTTCCTCGACGTTAAAGCAAACTCCATTTTAAAAGCTTGCTTTAGTAAGGAAAGATGCTTGTGATTCACACTAATATCAGAAGTCATGTGTTCGCATCCACCGGTATGGTGGGGAGCACCATATTCTGAGCCATGGACCACTGGTTCATTGTTAATGGGTCAATATGGTTCGTGTGGTTTCAAAGGAAAATCTGGCAAATGTACAGTTGAGGGGAGGGGGATGGGTTTGACCAAGTTCTAAAATGGTTATTAAAAAGGCTTGAAGGATTACCTCCAAGCACAAAAACATCAACGAAATGTTGAGCTGAATATTTCAAGATGAGTTCCCAAGAAGCTAGAGTAAAGCAAAGAAAGGTGTATTCATGGCACCAGGTACACTAGTATCCATATAAACAAGGCCACATTTGGCAATTAAATTATTAGTTACTAAATTTTTATTTTCTATCATATGTTATAATTAATAATAAAATTTATACTATTAATAAAATCTGTCACTACTACTTTTAACGACAAATTTGACACTTATGATAGAAAAAAATTTTATAATAAAGAAAAAATCAATATTATTAATGAATTATTTGTAACAATTTTACTTGTCACAAAAAAACACTTTTTGTCACAATAATTTTCATTACAAATGTTACAAAAAAAAAAAAGTCATAGATGCAATTGAGTGTATATGAAGAAAAATTTAATCATCAATTGTTAAAATTGAAATTGAACCAAAGGGGTATTTATGTAATTATAATACATACTTTGACAAAAATAATTAACTAAAAACTTATTGGATTAAGTGAAGGCGTTTGGTTCTTCTTAAATAAGTTTAAACAAGATTTTGAGTTTGAATTTTGTGAATAAAGAAACAAATATTAAAAAAATTTCCTCTTATGAGTCAGATATGATCTTAAATTAGTTAAGATTCAATGTGATTTTTGACTTAATACAAAATACTCTATGCTCAATCTTGAGCTAAACTTGAGTTTTATCGAGTTTCATTTTGTAGAGCTCAAATAAATAAAATTGAATACAAGTGTCAATCAATTAGTTTATAAGTAGCCACTAGTTTTATAATGTATAACCTTATTTTTTTATATATTTCACATCAATGTGAGATATATTTATAGTGTAAAATCTTATTTCTTTTATATATATATTAATTCACATGGATGTATTGATAAGAAAAAATTTAAATAAGATTGTACTTTTTTCTTGAGATATAAAATGACTATACATCACAAGAAATGATGCAATAACTTGCAATTGTTTACAATTATAAGTTGTTGTTTCATTTTGAAAGGAATTTAATTCCATAAGTTTTTTTTTATCAACAAATAGAATACTAATTTTTTTTTTAAAGTACAAAGATATTTCAACTATCGTTAACATACACACTCTTAACTCACCTAGTTATAATTGATTCTTAATATACTTAACGTTCATTTAACAACTAATACCATAATAATACAATTTTCATAAGATCAAAAGAATTGGAGTTTTTAATCCTATCATCTTATAAT